AGCCGACCAGTCAGAGATCCCGGGAAGGATTACGAATGACCTAGGCTAGGTACCTCGATGAACTCTACCCGATGGAATTACTTGGGTTTTCTTCCAGCGATGCGAGAAGCTTGACAGGCTTAAAGATGGCTTCACAATGCTGGTTGCTCTTTCTACACCGAACACCGATCCGGTTGCTGCTGTGATTGCCGAACCAATTGTTACAGCAACGGAGTAAAAACGGTGCTTCGCCGAGCTCAGTGGATTCAGGTTTCATTGCCACTCAGAAGGTTACGCATTTTCTGTGGATCGTATTTTTACCTGATCGTGTAACCTTTCATCATTCCGAATATTTAATATGTCCCTGCAGCGAGTAAGAATCCTATCATTCACTTGCACACCTAAAAGTAAATTGAGGGGCTTTGGATTTTGCTGGCAGACGGTTAGTCGTTTTATGTCATTTGCTGACTGGCTAATTACTAGATTATCCTGCTGTATTTTCCCACTTTAGTCTTTGTGTTCTTAAGTTTCGACTTACTTGTTCCGTTCACTGCTACTTAGACTTGTGTCTATTCGCTTTTCGATCGTTTCATCCTCGGTCATAAGAAATATTGCATTTTTTATTTTATTAATTTGGCTTTATTGCCTTACAAGACTGAATTCTTTGAAGTTTCGTTTAATGCAGTAAATTTATGTAATAAGCTCATTAGATTTACTCATTGTATTTGCATACGTTAAGCTAGAAGACTGTTGTACTTACTTATCCACTGACGTAAACACTCAAGGACAAAACTCTCTTTTGGGCTAATCGAAATCAGTCCTCGTCGTTCGTGTATGGCAGAAAGGATTTACATCAGAAAAGCAGCTGTAAACTCTAAACCACGAGTTCGTGTGATATATGCTGACTCCCTTTCCCGTAGTTTTCTGTTTTGTTTAGAGTTGCATGCCGTTTTTATTTAGATTTTTTGAATTTGTTTTGAGGAATCTGTCTTGTTGGTCATGACTTCTGTTCAGGTTCCACTTGACTCTGCTGTACCTTCCTCGACGGAGGTTTTCCGTTAGTTGTTCTATACCAGTTCGTTGACGATGTTACTTTTCCGCTGTTAGAGTGAGGTCTAGTTGGCAAATAATTTTACGTTTGGACTGACCCTTTAACGAATTCGTTGATATGTGAATCGAAACTGGTATAGGATTCAGTGGGCGTCGGTTTTGGATATGGGTGATTGTTAATCTTGCATTTTTTGTATATGGCAGTAAATGAAGCTTGGCATCGTGGTCTAGTTGGTAGGTGAATTGGATATCGTCGCAGAATGACATTTTCTGTTCTCAGAACTCATTGACGTCATTGAGTTCATGATGGAATATAGCCTCATATTACTTTGACGCGCTTGTCCGTACAGTGTATATGATTTTAACTTTGCTGATCCCAAGACGATATCTTCACATTTCTCAGTGTATTGGTACATTGTTGCAGTCGTCAGAAATATCGAAGATGCCATGGCACAGTCTGTCTCTTACAGTGCAGCGTTGCTTACCAAAATTTGAAACTGCTGAGATGCAGGAACTGCCTGGATTCGCGATCGACATTCACGTTCCCGTCGCAAGACCCTCGACATTTTCCATAATTGTGCAAATTCCTGTCAGGAGGATTCGAGATTCTCACTGTTCCTTATGGATCATTGCAAATTTGACGTTCGTTCATGCCGTGTATGTTTAAGTAGAGGAAACTTTTATATGGATGAATGTATTGCTAAATATTTCCTTGCTTTTATAAATATAGCATATGCAGAAGAAGTCAGGATCGCGTTTGTCAGGTCATACAAATGTCACAAAAGCAGACAGTAAAGCAATGGAACATATTTTCGGTGAAACGAAGAAGGAAGCTGAGATTCGTACCAGCAAACAATTTATTATTTTTATTATTTTTTATTGTATTTGTCATCTTCATTCAGTGCTAGCGAAGTCTAGAAGTGCCTAGATTTATTAGGTGTGGTTATTGGAAATGATAGCTGGTGAATAGCTGACTATCGCGTCCGGTACTTCTGTACATAGCGGAATGTTTGAGTACCATGAAGACACGGCAATCAAAGCAACAGCTGAAGCACGTAGAAATACGAATGTTCAAGTGTGTGCGTGTGTGTCAATGAAAAGAAAAAGACCTCATTTCTGGTTCCATAAAATCCTCCGCTTTAACTGTAGTGCCAAGTTCAGAAGAGCTCATCGAAAGTAGGATATTCTGGCTCGGCTTCGTTGACAGAACGTTTAACAAATACTGATAGTACTGATGCTGCCAGGGAAAAAAGGAAGAAGATTAAAACAACGTCGCTCGATGTAAAGAACGATATGAAATACTGAGAAGTGAGGGAAGATCTGATGAACGGTAAAAAAATGTGTAAGTAGTTGACTCGAGCGACATTAGACCTTTGTTAGGAGGAGGAGAAGGAAGAGGGAGAAAAAACTGACGGTTCGGCGGGGGTCATAAATGAAGTTTTGCATTTCCACGTATTGTATTACAGCGCATCTGCAACGGGCGATTATTAGGACATGAGCATATTTTCAGTACGATATTGTGTATTCCGTGATGAATTGGCAGTGGACTTTGTCGCTTCAGAAAACGTATGATCTGTTTATGGAAAAGTGATCGACTCCGTCCCTAAAACAATTGCGTGTATGAGTTCGATTTCATTACCTGTAGAACAACACATGCCTCAATATGTCTTTTTGACAAAGTAAACATCAACACCAATTATGAAGAATTGATCTTGCATGCAAACGTCCAAGCAGATTTGTGATTTAGCTTGTGCTGTAGCACCTTTTAGTTATTTATGCATCCGTGATCGCTCTCAGCTTTGAGCTTCAATCATTCGATCACAGTTGATCCTGGTGGTTCTGCTTTCTGTCATAAATCTTAAATATTCAGTGCCACTGATGTCGTATTGTCATAGTTGTTATAAAAGAGCAGAACTGTTAAGCTTTGATTTTAATTTTACTGTGGATTCCGTTTAAGGAAATCAAAAAAATAGAGCATACTACGCCACAAGCTAGAATCGTTTAATCTTAGATACAGTAATATTGTAAAACCTGCGAGAATGTCACAAGATCGAAAGGTTTTCGTGTACGTCCATATGCGACAGCCGCAACTACACTCTCTACCGCTTAGCGATATTTTTTTCTTGCAAATTGCTAGAGGCCGATCAGCGCGCTGACTAATGCCGAAAGCCATAAGTTGAACTCGATTGCGTTGCTTCCGCCCTCAGGCTGTGAGGCCTACATTCCCTTTATTATTAATGCAAGGCAGGAAGATGCATGTTTCTGCATTAAGCATCAGTCTATACGAGCGATAGTTTTACAC